TCAAGTAGGGCCTTGAGATGTAATTGGAGGGGGCCGGGGTGAGCCGAGGAAGGGCATTTCTCCTCTGTGAAATTGCCTCCGTCTTGGGGACGGTAAATTGAGTTGCTGAAAAATGATGCGATAATTCAGCCACATGGTTTGCTGGGATAAATTGCCTGAAAGTCACTTTCTGGAGAATTAGGAGGCAAAACTACATTTCCCTGCCGAGTCCGCTGTCCTTCACGCAGCGGCACGAAATGAATTGATGAGACGGAGAGGGAGGCAGAGTGTCGGCGTGGATGTTTGCTGCTGAAATGAACCCGCCTGCGTGCGCATTCAGATTGGCTGAGGGGTGGGAGGCAGAAGCCCGGGCGAGGACATGGCGGCTTTTTCCACGCCGTTTCACAGCCTAAGCCTTTAATCGCTGCTCCCACAATGAGCGAGCCAAATGGAATTCAGATTTCAGATTGATTGATTCCGTATTGGTGATTGCCAAGGCTGGCTTAAGACGGGGGAGAAAAAACTGTGACAGTGGCTTTTAGATGTAACCTCTTTAAGAAGAACCGGCCCTGCTCCTCTCATGTGCCTGTTTGTCGCCTCAGATGTGCTTCAAAAGAAATGCGAAAATTCTCGCTTTTTGAAGTTTAATCTCCTTTAAGAAAGGGTAGGAGGCTGAATGCAAATGTGGAAATGAGCTCTTGCTTTCCTTCTGGCTGGTTGGGGTCGGAGCTTGTAGCTGCGAACGGTCGGCGCCTCTGAACGCTCGCCGCCTTTAGTCTCGGAAACGAGCAAAAGCCACAATCTGAAGGCAGAGCAGGGAGAAAAGATGGATGGGGTTTTAGCCTCCCTTACGCGTTGTCGGAACTGCTCTGTAGTCACTAATGTGTCTCATTTGTTAATCCCTTTGAGACATCTTCCAGCAACAGAGCAGCTATAAGCACATTTGGTGCTGTTTGCAGTGTCGAGATTAACAGGATTACAGTTCGGAGATTACATTTGTGTCTTTCCTCCCCATTTAACCTTGACCCCTTGCTCCACCAAACCATCGCGTGTAGTCATACTTGACTTGATTTGGCTTTTGTCAAGTCTGCGTGCTCGCGGGGGGGAAAAAAGGAGCTCGTGGACACCGTTAGGGGGATAAATACAAACAAGTAGACCTTTTAATGAGTCTCTCGGGCCTCTCTGCGGTTGAGCCCCTTTGGTTGGTCTACATCAATACACAGACCAAGACAGAGAAGTGACAACAGCAGCAGCCATTTGATGAGTGTCCTATGGATTATTGCTCTTCCTTCCCTACAGTTTCCATGCCAGAGAACACGACGCATCTCCTGCGTTACCATGGAGAATGTGTGGTTGCCAAGGCCTGTGGCGACAGGGTCATCGTTTATTTCTGTCAGTCAGCAGCGAGGGGGACAGATCGGAGAGAGGAGCAGCGGGCGGGGGGGGGGGGGCCCTGTTGGGTCCTGAGGGGCCGCGAGGGCTCCAGCTATCCTTTTTAAAGTTTATTTGTCCAAGGGAGCACCTACGGGCAAGACTGACTTTGCTTGATGGTGTTAATATACTGACCCTCCTCACGAATCCCTGGGCCACTTCTTCTCACTTTAAACAAAGTGGGGGGGGGAGCGAGGTGAGGCGGGGAACAGGAGGTGTGAGGAGGCTGCATACGGCCAACCGCAGTGCTGTTTATCCCCAGAGTTGATACAGCTGAGGACCAGCCTCCGTTTCCCTGGCCTCTCCTCATCTCTCGTTAATGTAGCGGGATGGTTCTGGCCGGCTGCCCGAGCCGTAAAGCCAGCAGGTCTGAGTGACCACCCACCCCGAAGAGAAGCATTAGCCCGTCCTCTTCGCCATCACCTGCTATTGTTTATGTCTGCCATTCATTCTCTCGCCATTATTCAGCTGCTGTGAAATAACGAGGAGAATATTTTAATTGAGGTTTTGAAAGCCTGAAGATTGATGGCAGCCCTTTGGGCTGTTTTCTTTTGGTCTTTACTCGCCCCACAATCTGATTTGATTCCTAAGCTTTTTCCGCAGCCCGTCCTTTCTCGTCTCTCTTTCCTCTCAGTCCTTTCATTTTGCAGCTTTTCTTTTTCCTTTTTTTTTGTTCCCTCTCCCCGGTCCGCCTGCCACCTCTATTTTGGGAAAATTCACGTCCACGTGTGCAATTACATAGCTCATTTTCAGTCGGAGCTCCTTCCATCACTGAGAATGAAAAGGTTGTCCAGCGCGCAAATACGTCTTCATCTGTCCTCTTCTCTCTTATGCATGATTTAAGACTTTGGCATCTTCGGCCATCTGAAACACTCCCTCCTCTCTACCAACCTCTTGGCTGTTCCTTTCCTTCCTGGTGTGACTGTTGGCTAAAACACTTGCTTCTGCAAAAAAAAAAAAAGAAGTGTTCCTGTTTCCCTCCCTACGTGCATTTCCGTACCAATTATTTTTAGGAGATGAGAAGTGGCCATGGCTTCTGCTGAGGTATTTGTAGCATAGCGAGGGGAAGGTGTATTTGGTGAGATGGGCGTAGAGACGTGAGATCCATTAGCCCGTATTCTGTTCACTCAGCACTGCATCCACTTCTTTGTCTAATGTATTATAATCTGTTTAGAGCCTGATATCCATGCCTCACTCTCAATGCCTTTAGGTTTCCTTTTATTCACCCCTGTGGCTCTCACTCCCCCCACCCACCCCCCACCCCCTCGGCCGACACCCTCCTTCCCTCACACCGTCGTCCTTTCGTCTCGCAGTTGAAGGTCCGGGGCTGAAGGTCAGCATCGGGAGGCGGTCATCTCTGCTGCGAGACGGGCAGGACGCTGGGCTTTGTGAGCTCCTGCTCTGTGTGTGTTTTGTCACCATTAAGCCTCCCAAGTCATGTCAGCGGGGTCATTAGAGCCACAGCAGAGCCCATTGTGTCCCCGCAGACGTTGGCCAAAGATAGCATTTCTCATGTCGAAGTACTTATTAACAGAAACAAATACAACAAGGACCAGGGCAGCTCGATGATGCATTGATAGCTCCATTATACCTGCGTCCTGATAGTTTTTCTAGGCAAACAGACGGCTCTTGAAGATAAAAATGTCATTAGTAAATGAGTCGGTGAGGTGTTTTTTGACTAAATTTTACAGCTTGGGTTTTCTTTTTTTCTAAATAAAGCTGTGGCGTCAAAACTTGACTTTACCAAAAGGAGATTACTCATAACGTTTAATTATCCCCTATCACGGCATCCATATCGTTTTTATTTTTATTTTTTTGTCGAGGTGGTTTCACAAGTTCTTTGCCAAAGAAAGTCTGAACATTTTTGTAAAAAAACACAGCTTGTGCGGCGCGTTCAAAGTTGTCACCGTCGTCGCGCCTTCTGCCTCCCCGTCTCCAGCAGGAGTCACTTCCTGTGGATAATCGTACTTTGATATGCCGTTGCACGAACCCAGGCTGAAATGAACAAACAGGGTGCCCGGGGGATCACGAAGCGGCCGGGGCTGTTGTTTTTTTTTTTGTCTGCTCCTCTGTGATGCATTCTTGGAACGCCCACTGTTTTTTCACGGCCTGTCTTTGCATTACTCTTTGCATCCCTGTGAAGAGCAAAGTTGGACATGGCTCAGAGAAAAAGAAGTGCCGTTCCTGCTACTGCACTCGCGGGAAGATTTAAGGCGTACTTAATCTTGGCTTGGAGGATGGAGGGTGCAGAGATATTTGCCAGGATGATGGCCTTGATTATATTAAAGGAATACTGTGAGTCTGGGTTTTTTTTCCTTTCCCTTCACACTCTGTCTACATGAGTGATCACTTCAGTAATCAGAGGATTATCTTTAACAAATTCTCTTATGCTGAAGGTATCATGGCCACTCTTGCCTTTTTAATGCTTTCCCACCTTTAATTAAACCTTGGTTTATAGTGCGGGTAGTAAATCTCTGAATGGCATTAATACAACTGTTTTATGTCCATTTGTGTCGGAGTCTTGATGAATTTGGTGGTCAGTGTTAAATGCCTTTGTGTTGAGAGGGATTATTCTCTAATGGGGAGCCAAAGGCTTTAAAACGGAACCCGTGCGTAGGGATGGCTCACCAGCCTAATGGTCAGAGGATTTCCATGCAAAGGTAATGATGCCGCCTCATTTCGTGCACCAGCACTCTAAATGGAGAAAAGATGTTTGTGTAAGTGCCTGGATCACACCCTTCTCATGTTGTGTCCAGGTCCCTTTCACACTTGGCTTGATGGAGACAGACTAAAGGGCCGGGACATTACATTAGGTTTCCAGAGGTCGTGCTTTCGCACACTGAGTGTGCTGAGGGATATTCTCGGAGCGGAAAGGGGTCCTATTGTTCTGCGTTTGCATTTCCTTCCGTCAGCTTTTTTTTTTTTTTCGGTCTCGTCGCTGTGAAGGGTTTTGGGGAAATGGAAGGCGAGAATACCTGTGGGCGACGGCTTGTCGTCGCACTTTTCCTCCCGACTGAATCAGAAATCAGCTCGTCTCACAGCTTTGTTATCACATATACTCTGCCTTTTGGTTGTGAGGAGGCTGCTCTCGTAAGTGTTTTTTTTCCTCTTTTTCTTTCTTTTTTTTTTTTCTTTTTTAAATGCGAGTTTAGATTGCAGAGGCAGAGGTTAGGTGTGTGTGTAGGGGGGAAACTGGCAGCTCTTGCTCTGAGTAGGTTACTGCGCAGACTGCCTCATTGCGAGCGTTTGGATTGTTAGCAGCAGTTTACACAATCTCCCACATACTGCTTAACTCTTAGCACGTCAGATGAATCCAGCCTGCTGTCTTTTCTATAGGAGCCGATGCCATGCTGTTGCATTTTAACGCGGCTTTTCTCTCTCTCTCTTCCTGTTTTGGCAGGTCAGGATGTCTGATTCGGAGCAGCGGCTGTGCTGAGATGACCTGTGTGGCGGCGGCCCCCCTCAGAGAGACTGTTGCTCCATCAACGCGCCGGGGCCCAGTCTGGCCTGGATACGGTTGAGGGGTTCGCGTGATGGACAGGTGATGGGTTCTTCCATCATCTTTCTTCCTCAGTGACTCGGCCCGCCGCCCCCCCCCCGCCCCTCCACTGAGACACGAGCGTGTGCCAGCGGTCCAAGGCCCCCCACTTCTCTGCCATGGTGACATAAGCGGCGCTGCAACATGAGGGAGCACCAACACGACCGTCGCCTTTCTGTCTTCAGTGGCCGCCGCCGCCGCTACGTGGGCGCCGTTTTTTGCGCTTAGCTCCACAAAAACAGTGACTTTGTGAATAATTCCTACTTGCTTTTTTTTTCCCCACCCGCACCGAGAGAGACCCCCCCCCCTAAGGCGTGTAGTTGGGCCGGCGGGGCGGAGCGGCGCGGCGTGAGACCATGCTTGGATGCGTGACGCACCTCCGTCGGCTGGTCCGCCTCCTCCCGCTGCAGACCTCCCTGCTGCTCCTCTTCCTCTTCTGCACCGTCAGCGTCTTCATCTTCTCCTACTTCCTCTATGGCGTCAAGCGGGAGCCCGAGCCTCCGGGAGGGGGCGTGTCCGGCGCCGAGGGGGCGTCGGCCGACTCCTACGACCCGCGGGTCACCCCCTCCCGGCTGCTGCCCCTGCGCGGGGTCTCGGGGGGCCCGGGCCTGGATCCCACGGGGGCCAGGACAGATCCTGTGGTTCTGGTGTTTGTGGAGAGCCAGTATTCTCAACTGGGGCAGGAGATTGTGGCCATCCTGGAGTCTGGGCGGTTCAAGTACCGGACGGAGATCTCCCCCGGTAAAGGGGACATGCCCACGCTGACGGACAAGGAGAGGGGGCGTTTCACACTCGTGATTTATGAGAACATTCTCAAGTATGTCAACCTGGACGCCTGGAACAGGGAGCTGCTGGACAAATACTGCGTGGAGTATGGAGTGGGCATCATTGGCTTCTTCAAGGTTAGGACAACGCCACACTCCCTGTGCCGGCCTCCCTCCCTCCTCTCACTCGCACCTTCTGCCCTGTCCATCTGGCTCCCCCGTCTCTAAGGAGATGGGATTTACAGAGCTGGAAGCACATGCACGGGTTTAATGTCACTCTGTACCTCTGCTCTTATCTTTCTCTCTATTCCTTTTTATGTCTGTTTTCTTTTGTTCTTCAATCTGGCCTTCTTAACTCTTCTTCTTCAGTCTTTCAATTCCCTTTTTTTCTGGGGGGGGGGGGGTTCCTGTGCTTTTGTCCTGGTTTTTCAGTCATCCACCCCTTTCTCACATTCTATCTCCTATTCCTCCTCTCCTTCTCCCTACCAGTAATCCCTCAAGGCCCTGCTTGCCCAAGGCCAGTTTTCAGGTCTCATGGTTTTAATCACCCTATCTCAACCATGGAGAGAGTGAGGAAGCCTGGATGGTGCTGCAGGGTGGTGTAGATGAAGGTTAGCCTGGTGGGATTTACTACCTATTGAGACAGGAGGAAGGAGAACAAGGATGTGCATCCCAATGATTCCTGTTACACAGCGGCACTGCTGTGCTTCTAGAACTTTTTGCAGCTCAAAAACCCTTACAGTTATGCCAAGCTTTGGCCTACATGTGTCAGCATATGATATACTTTATGTTGGCTCCTGAGTTAGAATATATTTTTCAGATCATTTCTGATCTTGATTATTTTAAATGTTGTCTCAGGCACATGGCTGGGTAAGAGCTTATTAGCATCCAGAATCAAAGGCGGTTTATCAGACATTCTTATCTAAACAGACTTTGGGTCAAATCCACCTGTGTTTCTCACAGAATGATCAGATCACTTCTGAACTTGAGGCAATTTGAATCATATCTAGCAATGTCTTTCAGAGGTCCACAGCTGTGACAGATGTGTTATGTGTTTCCAAAAGGGGTTTAAGAGACTCCAGCTGTAAGATGCAGTCACTTTTCTTCTGCCCCATTTCTATAATTGACTTGTACAATCTTTATGTAACATTAACCCCTCAACGCCCGTCTACATCTGTTTGTGTTTCTGCCGCTAGTTATTTCATAAAGCTTTATTACCGAGTCAGATCTCTGGCTGTTCAAACTACTGTAAGATAAATATAGAGGATGCATATTTCTTTGCACGCAGAGAATAAAAAGCATAGAGTGAATACACAGGCAGAGATTTTTTTAATAATGAGGAAAAAATGTGCTTTTTATTCTACAGACAGTGGTTTATCGGTTGTATTCAAAGACCAGAATAATGTAATTTAAATGAAATTGGTTTGTTTTAGCAGTTATTTCCATAACCACAGCAGAGAGACTGGAACCAGTGTGAAAGTAAAGCCAAAATTGAAGCTGTGGTTTGAGGAAGGGGGGCGGGGAAAGAATGGTGGATACTTTCAAGCTGTTAAATATTGTTAGAAAAAAAAAGACATTCAACATCTTTCAGGCTGTAATTTGCAACATCTCAGTGGATAAACACCAGTCATTTGGTGGCTTCTCGCAATCCATCCCCGCACTCCCTTTACGACGCCGTCGCCACACAAGGTCTGTGTGCTGAAGTGCGCAGAGGAAAAAGCGAGAATTGGAGAACAACAAGCTTGGTTGGAGATGCTGCAACGAGTCCTCGCTGAACCCCCTCGGTCTCCGCAGGAGTTTTTTTCTCATGCGGCCCAAACTGGTAGCATAGCATATTGAGCGTAGCGGGTAGGAGCTGCGTCATGCCTTCACATTTGAGTAGACCTGACATTCCTTATTTCACACATGACTGGAGAAATTGGAGGATTATATCCAGTACATTACAGTATTCATCTCTGTGCTGTATGATGAATCTGTGTCCTTTCTCTGTGTTGATTAGGCCAATGAAAACAGTCTGCTCAGTGCACAGCTCAAAGGCTTCCCCCTCTTTCTTCACTCCAATTTGGGTCTGAAGGACTGCACTGTCAACCCCAAGTCCCCACTTCTCTTCATCACTCGAGCCGGGCAGCCCCTGCCAGGTTCTCTGCCGGGCGATGACTGGACAGTGTTTCAGTCCAACCACTCAACATATGAGCCCGTGTTGCTGGCCAAGACCCAGTCAGCTGAGAGTGTGGCGTCCGTGGGGCAGAACGCTGCTATGCTGCCCTCGGTGGTGCAGGACCTGGGGCTTCACGATGGTATCCAGAGGGTCCTGTTTGGCAACAATCTGGGCTTTTGGCTGCACAAGCTGGTGTTTGTGGACGCAGTGGCCTTCCTCACCGGGAAAAGGCTCTCATTATCCCTGGAGCGTTACATCCTGGTGGATATCGATGACATCTTTGTGGGCAAAGAGGGCACCCGAATGAAGGTGCCTGATGTAAAGGTGAGTCTGTGCATGTGAAGCCAGTCATCGGCTCCTCGGCTAATGTTTTCAGTTGCCTTCTCCTATGATACACATACATATATTTAGAAAAGAAATCGCCCTCATGCTTGATGTGTGCCATTCTCTCTGCCAATCTTCTTCTCGCTCCTCTTCTCCGTTTGAATGCATTCGTCCCAGTAGGCTGCTCAAAGCTGACAGGCCCCACCGCTCACTCTGTCACCGAAACTCCACCACCATGAATATTTCAGGGGCCCGGAGACATACAAAGAATGTTGAAAAGCTGCTTGCTGGGGTCCCCTTAGAGCAGAACAGACTCTCTAACATGTGGCAGCACAGGGTATTAGAAGGGGAGAAGAAAAAGTTATGGAAGAGACATCAAGGCCTCCTCTCTGGCAGTTCAACAGCCAGCTTTAAGGAACAAATCACACATGAGAAATGTGAGAGTGAGGGGCTGGTGGGTGGGTGCGTGCGTTTGTGTGCGAGTGCAGGGAGTCTCATTCAGTCATGGAGATCAAATGAAACAAACACCCCGAATCAGAGGAGAGGAGCAAAAATATCAAACGGAATGAGGGCGAGGAGCGAGGCGGCTGGGAGTGGATGCTGGATGTTTACGGAGAGAACCTCGCAGGGTGAAAGATGCACGTGGGCACGCGTCAGCCCGTGTGTTCGCACTCTGTCATTACCCCGTCCCACACCCATTTCAGAGCAGCATCTTCTGACTCACTGTTCTCCCCTCGCGCCGTTCCAGGCCCTGCTGGAGACGCAGAGGGAGCTGCGCACCCATGTGCCCAACTTCACCTTCAACCTGGGCTTCTCAGGGAAATTCTTTCACGCCGGTAAGACTGCCTCATACAAGCAGACCCACCAAACTGATAGAGAGAGATCACTTTCAAGTCATTCAAGTTCATTGAGCCCGTCTTATTGTCTCCAATACCCTGACTGTATCACTCATTTTCCACATGCTTCTCTATAATACTTGAACTTTCTCCCCCTCTGCTTCGCTGTTTCATTTCCTCTCTTTGTCACTGTTTCCATTTAAACTTGGCCTCTTCTCTGTCTTTCTCCATTTTTATCTTTTCAATTTCCTCTAACCCCCCCCCCCCCCCCCCCCCCCCCCACTCTCTCTTCTACATCAACCCATCTGGTTTGCGTCTCTCTGCCCTTTCCCTCCCATCCGACTGTCCTGGTTCTCGGTCATTTCCAGGATCTGATGAGGAGGACAAAGGGGACGACCTGCTGCTTTCCTTTGTGAAGGATTTCTGGTGGTTCCCTCACATGTGGAGCCACATGCAGCCCCATCTATTCCACAACCAGTCCGTGCTGGCCGAGCAGATGTTGCTCAACAAGAAATTTGCAGTGGTGAGTCATCGGTTAGCAAAGGTCACAGTGCAGCCCAAGGTGAACGCTCACGTTCTGGGTTTGATAAAACTATTCAATCTATCCACGGCAGCGGGCACAGCAGAGGCTCACCAGAAGTCATTCTTTACTACTGTCCATGCATCCTCAATGATCGGCACATGTTGACGCTGTTTTCCCCGCTTATAGTCCGCATAAGGGCTATAAGGAGGACTAATGAATAATAAATTAAAGACTTTGTTTATATTTTTCATACATTGTGAACAAAGACTTGGATGTGGCAGATACGCTGTATCTGTGGGGAGGTCTGAAGCAACATGGGAGCATTATTAAAAGGGCATCATCTTTATCAGTCGTCTCTGTCAGAGCCTCTGGAAATGTGACATTTTCATAATGTGGGTTTGGACAAGCGTAAAAAAAAAAAAGACCACATTATACTAAACTATAATGTCGTTCTATTTCAGGGGCGGTTTGAGAACAGGTTCACGTACTTTTATTAAGAAAGAAAAAAGCTTGTGCTCAGGCCATGTTGTGCACATAACTGTTGAAAGTACTTGTTTTCATCTTGGATCTAAAACGGTCCGTTGTAGCTCTCTTTAAAGCACACTTTGTGCTTTCTGTTTAACTAATGATAATTAATCGACAGCTCGTCTTACATTATTTATGAGGCAGCGATATTTTCTTAGCTCACACAAGTAGGAATTATTTTTGCATCCCAGTTCTTCTTATACAGTAGTCGGCGCCGGAAACTGGGCAAGGACACTTTCAACAGGGACAGTTAAAATAGACATAATAACGATGACAAACATGACTAATTTACTGGATGTTGACACTCAGCCACTCGTCCAACCTTTTCTCGATTCAGAAATTACCATCTGTGATGCAGCCCCCCGTCAAGAAATAAAGCAGGAAGAAACGCAATTAAATGAACAGAATTAGATTATTTATTTTTCCAATCTAAATCATCTGCTTATTCAGGTGGTCCAAATCTAGCTGAGGAATGCTCGGCTCCACCGGTGGTCCCAGGAACGAAAAAAAAAAAACTAAGGGTTTCTAATTTAGCATCCAAAGAACTTGACATCTTGATGAATCATGCCTTTTTGGAAAAATGTAAAAAATGCAATCATTTGTCCTTTCTTGTTACTTTCTTCTCACTGGTGTAATTTCTCCTCCAGGAACATGGCATCCCCACTAACATGGGCTATGCGGTGGCCCCTCACCACTCGGGCGTTTACCCCGTGCACATGCAGCTGTACGACGCCTGGAAGAAGGTGTGGGGGATCAAGGTGACCAGCACCGAGGAATACCCCCACCTAAAACCCGCCCGCTTCAGGCGGGGTTTCATCCACAGCGGCATTAGCGTAAGGCTGCCTTTTGTTTGTCTTTTGGACTCACAGGCATTCAAAAACCCTCATTATTTCCTTACTTCTGGCCAATTGCCGTCTGTCCTCTGCTGCCTCTCCCACCTCCTCAGCTTTTGTTTATTCTACAACCTTCCGGCCCCTTACACATATGTTTTTCCTTAGTCTTCTCTGGAAAGGCGATGAGCAGGATTTTACTCTCGTTTACCACGTATCACCGAGGCAGCAGATGTCCTGAAAAAAGGCAGACATCTCCCTCGGTCCTGCTGGCTTTTTCCAGCGAGTGGGAGATGATAATGTAGTCAAGGGAAGCAGTGTTGCGTGAGACACCTGTCTGGGTAGTGCTGCCTAACAGGCCTCAGCAAAAAAAAAAAAAAACGAAGACTGACACGTCTGGCAACAGCAAAGCAAGCGCATGCACGGAGCCAATCACTGAAATGTCAACACCCCGAAAAACTTTATTCAGCCTCCCTCTATGCTGAATAACGCAGCTTAAAGAGCAAAATTGAATTTGAATGGATTCAAGGGGTTCAGAAGTTGAGGGGGGACGGGGAAGGGGGCAGGGGGGGGCAGAGGTATCCGATTCTTCCTGAGGCTGACCTTCAGCTCTGATAAGAAACGCCGCGGCCCCACGGTCCGCGTTCTTTTGTTGTGCTGGCGCCCGGCCGGCCTGTGTGGTCTCAAAGCTCCGTTCCCGTACCGGAGAGAGCGCGCTGTTGAATGGACGGTCCTCACTGCTTACCGATGATTGATATTCAGCTCCCCAGACACTCCAAACTGTAAATTCATTTCCATGAATTTCCATATAGACTCGGCGAATAAGAGGTTTGCTTTGGCTAGATGAGCTGCATAATATGGATGTTATTGAGAGCAAACAATGTGTGAGGTAACGGCCGGCAGCCCCCCCCCCCCCCCCCCCCCGCCCCGCTCTCGGCCGACTGCTGATGAGGTTCTGTGTGAATGGTTTTCCTGTGATCCTTTCAATTTTTCAAGTTTGTATTTTATAGGAATTTAATATGTATGTATATTTTTTCCCCCCCTCTCTGATGTTTGCGTTGCAGGTGTTGCCCAGGCAGACGTGCGGCCTTTTCACACACACTATCTTCTATAAAGACTACCCAGGCAGTCCAAATGAACTGGACAAGCTCATCAATGGAGGGGAGCTCTTCCTCACAGTTCTGCTGAACCCTGTGAGTCAATTACTCACCCACATGGCACGGCTTTTGTCTTGCACACTCGGAAACCCATTTAGCTGCTGGTGCAAATTGAAATTTAAACAAGGGACAGGACAATGACTTTTCACTGACTCACGCAGCGATGTGTGCGTCATTCTTCCTCCTTTTACATTACCACGAAAGAGCCTTTTAATGGAGCCAAACACAATGTTGAAAATTGCTTGTACTTGTGAGCATGTTTTGTTTGAGATCATTATAAAAAGGTGGCTTTTGTATCCTACTCTGTACTGACTGAAGATAATTGTATTTTTGAACTGCGTGTGACTTTTGACTGTTTTCCTGTGTAGTCACATCCCTCTCCTTTCTCATCCAAGCCAGTATAAGTTTGCACACAGTCGCAGACACAGTCACATTTTCTTTAGATGAATGAGCAGTTTGATTTTAAAAAATAAATAAAATTAGGATGCAACAAATGTCCTATTTAATAAAAAAATTATATTGGATAGTTTGAAGTTTTAAATTTCGTTGTCTTCTTTTTTTTTTTTCTAATTTTAATGTTGTGTCATCTGTACTTTAACTTTATTCCCCACCATAAATCTTCCTCTTCTTCTCCTTCCATTCACAGATCAGTATCTTCATGACCCACCTGTCCAACTATGGTAACGACCGCCTCGGCCTGTACACCTTCAAAAGCCTGGTGATGTTCGTCAAGACGTGGACCAATCTGAAGATGCAGACTTTGCCGCCAATCCAGCTCGCTCAGAAGTACTTCTCCCTCTTCCCCTCTGAAAGAGATCCCCTATGGCAGGTAAGATGATGACGGCTCTTTCTAACTTATTTCAAGAGACCGTCCATGCAGAAACGCTGTTTTGTTTTCTCATTGGCTGCTGACGGACATCGTCCTTAAGGGCTTATTATGTTGCGTAGAAAAGCGTTTGGTTTTCTGTCGTTTTTTTTTTTTTTTAACTTTGTTTTGTGCATGCTTAACAAGATTTATGGACAACAAAAGATCATTCCTGGGTTTTGTTTTTTTGTGTGTGTGTGTGGACTGCAGGATCCCTGTGAGGACAAAAGGCACAAGGACATCTGGTCCAAGGAGAAAACATGTGACCGCTTCCCCAAACTGCTTGTCATCGGGCCTCAGAAGACCGGTAAGATGCAGTGCTTTGACACCCTCTGCAGGGCAGAGTTAAAAATGATTTGTCACTCAAAAAGCAGAAATCGGGCCACGAATGATTTGATGGTAAGGTTGATAAGCTTTATCTGGTGATGTTTTTCCGTCAATATTTGTGGTGCATTGCATGTTGCCATAAGCAGCTGTTTTGGGTGCTCTTTAGTATGGAATCGCGTCTCTAAAAGATTAAATATTCTATATTTATGTTCTATGTTATATGTCTCCATTTCACTTGTTCTGTCACTCGCCTTTTTCAGGAACAACGGCACTCTACCTGTTTCTTGGCATGCACCCTGACCTGACCAGCAACTACCCCAGCAAGGAGACGTTTGAGGAGATCCAGTTCTTCAATGGGCACAACTATCACAGAGGCATCGACTGGTGAGACACTCGCTTATTTGGTTTGTAATTCAAGCACTTGAACACATACAGTCTGACTTTTTCATCAGAGCAAAAATTAAACTGCAAATCAATTTCCACTTAAATCTAGTTTATTTAGAAAAAGGGGATGTATTAACCTCCCCGTGGCTTTACTTTATTTTAAGCTTACATTCATGCTTGGCCTCTGTTCTGGGGGAAAAAAACTGCACTGAATTAACTGGAATTTTCCAGGCTTGAGATTTTGTGAGTGGGCCACCCAAATGTTACCATTGTATAACTACACCATGTTAGATGTCTTTCGTAAGTGGGGTGCCAAGCTGTTGTGCGTGGTCGATCACCCACACAGTGAACAGGGAAGTTGTCCTTATCTGTGGTGGGCAGTTTGGGCAGTTTTGGCTGCTTGTAAGGCATTGCTTTTATTTGTGTGCTTTTGTGTGTGTGTGTTGTGTGTTTAGGTATATGGAATACTTCCCTCTTCCCTCCAACACCAGTTCAGACTACTACTTTGAGAAGAGTGCCAACTACTTTGACTCTGAGGTTGCGGCTCAGAGGGCTGCGGCTCTCCTGCCCAAAGCCAAAATCATCACCATCCTCATCAACCCGGCCGACCGGGCGTACTCTTGGTACCAGGTCTGTCCACATCCTCGGTAAAACATCGGCCTCTTGTATGTAAAGTCCTCACGGTCTTGGAACTTTTGTCTTCACACAGCACCAAAGAGCCCACGACGACCCGGTGGCATTAAGATACTCCTTCCATGAAGTCATCACGGCCGGGCGCGAGGCTCCGGTCCGGTTGCGGGTCCTCCAGAACCGCTGCCTGGTGCCGGGCTGGTACGCCATCCACCTGGAGCGCTGGCTCAATTTCTACCACTCCAGCCAGGTATTACGGGAGTCATTTCAGACGCGTTTAATACTGCTGCCGGGGTGCAAACAGCGCGCAGATATCGACTATGAATATTTCTCAGCAGTGCAGATCTCCTGAGGGTGAGATATATTAAAACAAGACAGGGGGAAAAAAAAAGAAAAGAAAATTCCAGTGGGGTGTAATTGAGATTCATGGCAAATGGTTGTTCTGAAGGTAAGAGAGGTTTATTCTCGCTTTTGTATTCCTTACAGAGAGTATTTTAAATCCAGCTGACCTTGGTTGAAGAGAAGTGCCCTTTCAGGACACAAAGGAATAGAATAATCCATTAGAACTGCAAACTATACATATATGTTATTATAGATACTTACTCAGAGTATATGACCTAATTTCTGAAACTTTATTAGTAGTTTAATTTATTGAAAACCGCCGTGAACATTTCTGTCAACCGCTGTGGGAAAACAACACAACAACTCCCAAACTGAGCCCCACAGCTTTTTATCGGCAGTTGAGAGGCTATACGATATGGTAGAGCTGTGTGCAGAACATGGCCTGTCACGGGTCCTTACAAGCTGTTTTTATGTTGCCGTGCTGAAACAGCTCCTCTACTGGAGCCGCTGCGATGGCAGAGTGACCGGTGTGCGTTCTTTGTTTGGCTCAGCACAGAGAGCAGGTACAGTGTGGGCTGAATGTGAGCCGAATGCCACCATGTGAATCAGGCTTTTGTCACCTGTTCCCAAACTATCTGAAACAATTCTTCATTCCGCTCCGGTTCCTGTTCCATCTTGGTTGCAGTTTGCTCTTTTGTATTAATTTTTTTTTACATCATTATTCATATTCCAGCAGTCAAATAAGTTGATATGTTACTCTGTTTGCTGTGGATCAGCTAAGAAATTTAATCGCTCTGAATTTAGTTCAAACTGTTCACAGCTGCTTTATTTACTTATTCATTTGTTATTCAAAATTCTTGCCTAATTGGTATTCTGTTAGTTTTTCCTTTTCAATTGATTTTTTTTGTCTAAACATTTTAAAAATGGATTGTTTTGCACGGTGTTGTTGTTCCCTGTGTCTCATAGTTCGTGTTGAAAGACTTTGATATTCTTGCTCATAAGTATGAACCAAAAGTAAATGCACCATTAAAAGAAATTGTCCCAGCATGCAGATTTCAGAGTTAGTCCACCCATATTTAATGCAATAAACTGAAAGGGAACAGATTATTGCCTCTGTAAATGTCATCTGTGACATTTTTGCATCAGCAGGAGGCATAAATAACTCAATTCTAAAGAGTAAGGTTGCTCTAAAGAGTGATTTGAGATGGTCCTGTCAAAAATGACAATTACGTCTCAGCAACTTTGGTCATTTGGGCCCAAACAAAATCACATTACGAGGATAGTCAGACACTTAGGATTAGGGCCCTGTATTCTCCAAATGGGGAAACATGGACTGGTTATTTAATTTACTCCTAAATTAGTTTTATTGATTGGCTCAGCAGAGTTTGCAGGTAAAAACCCTGTCAGCAGTTTCTACAGGTTAGCGGAAAAAGAGATGAAAACCTTTTATGTTCCAGATTTGATATCTGACTAGATGCAATAATCGAGCTACTCCCATTCATACACAAAACCTAGTGCACTGACCTTTTTTTTTTTTCTAAAAAGGAGATTTGTACCCAACATTACAATGTTTTTTTTCTTCTTTTTATTCACACAGTTAAGTGACTCTTGTGCATGTAAATGAGGAGCTTGTCGGTTTTATCTTGAAGACATTAGATCATTGGTTCCCAGGCTGCTGTTCCTGCCCCCCTTAGGGACTATAAAGGGTTTTCATTGCCAAGTAATGTTGTTAAAGTGTCATTTGCACATGTAAAAGAAAAAAAAAGCACACATGCTGGAATATCACAGGTCCCTGTGTAGCTGCTGTAACACATGGATGTGCAGAAGAGGGGTGCTTCAAGTGGCATCAGCATCTGCCTGATTTGTTTTCTAATAAAACCTCCAACCTGCAGTAGGCATAGACATAGAGACGGGGTTCTGAAACAAATATCAGGCTCCTCACGCCCAGACCTGGGCACGGGGCGGAAGGCAGAGAAGCGTTTAGCCACAGCGTTAGAAGCAGTTCGGTGGCACACTGTGTGTGTGTGTGTGTGTGTGTGTGTGTGTGTGTGTGTGTGTGTGTGTGTGTCTGTGTCTGTGTGTGT